ATTCCACGTAGGGCTGGACTGCTCGCCCTGTCCCTCAGCCTGCGAAGGAGAGGCTCCAACGCCAAAGCATAAAGTACGGTCGACAGTGGTCAACTCTGATGAACCGACCGAGACATCGCAAAGCGCGCAACCGCTTTCCGTTCACCTGTACCACAGCACTGGGGGAGCGATACAGGAGGCTAATCCACCTGCAGAAGTCGGGTTTGAATCCGGCGGCCTGCAGGACAGAAGCCATATACTGATGGTCGACCCTATGAAATGCCTTGGACTGATCCAAATTGATCAGTGCGGCTTGTTCGTCGTCTTTTACATCCTCTAGGGCCGAGCGGATCAGATGCAGGTTGCTCTAAATTGTTCGGCCCTTCACAGCACAAGTCTGATCAGATCCTCGGCAACTGACTGCAAACGCTCTGTCAGGATCTTGGCCAAAATCTTTAACTCTGTGTTTAGCAGAGTTATAGGCATGTAATAATCCAAATCCCGCCCACCATCCTTGCCCTTTTTAACAGCATGATCACACACCTGGTGATCCGATTGGGGATGGACCCCTCCCGGAACCAATTGTTGAACACTACACTCAAAATCAGCACAAGGATGTGCGACAGCCTCAAGTACAATTCATAGGGTAAACCATAAAGTGCCTGAGACTTGCTACTGCCGACCTTCTTCAATGCCAAATAGACTTCACTCTCCGTGATCTCTCTCGTAGCTAGCCACTTCAGTCGGCGAAAGCCGAGGAAAGTCAGCCAAATAGCTGCGAAACTCATCGTCACTGAAACCAGGCTCCTTGGTAAACCGGCTCTCGAAATGCCACCGAAACGCCTCGCACATGGCGTCAGTAGGCCGCAGAGTACGTCCCTCCGGAGAATTAACCTCACGAATGTAACGATCGGAACCTCGACAGATCTCTTCCTTGCGCAATTGTGCGCCCATCTTCACGGCTTCTTGTTTAACCTATGTCTAACTAACATATAAACTTAAAAAATAAAAACAAGTTCTAGAATGTTCCATAAAGTTCTAGAAGGCTCCAAGTAGTTCTAGTTGATAAATTTCTAGTCGGTCCCAGAAAGTTTTGCAAGGCTCCAGGAAGACATAGTACTACTATACTTATATACAATTTTAGAAATTTCGTGTTGAGGTGGGGAGGTTACATTAAAAAAATAAACTGAATTAAATCATTCTTCCTTATTTTTGAACAATTGTTAATCGAATTATGATACAGGAAATCAATTTATTACAAAAAGTCAAGAAGTCAAAACCTTAATGTATACATGCATTTATAATGAAATTAAATATAGTGATGTAAAAAATGAATATAAAAAAAAAATCAAATGAATATACAAATAATAATAATAATAATAATAATTTTAACTGGTTAACTTGTTAAGTTTTAACTAAACCGTTACGTAATAAGAATTTCAAAATTTTAATTTATGATTAACGTTTATTTCTAAGGGTATAAATGTGATATCTTATAATAATTTCAATAAGTCTATCGAAAATCTGATCCTGATGAGCAATTTGACACGAAACTCTGGAGTCGGCCAATGAGATAATCGATTGAATATCAAACACACACACACACACACACACACACACACACACACACACACACATATATATATATATATATATATATATATATATATATATATATATAAAACAAAGGACAGCTGAATTCGTAACTCAAGTATCACGCTTGGCGAAAGTCATAAAAATTTAACACTTCTCCTTGGAACAATCAGCCTATCACATGTTAAAAATTTAGGCAACACGGTCGGAAAACCAAGGGGAATAAATATAACAGATAAAATATCTAGTTTATTTGTTAAACTGTTGTTTGCATACCAACTTCTCTGTTAATATATATATATATATATATATATATATATATATATATATATATATATATATATATATATATACTACACCCCTGCACACACATATATATATATAATTAATTTAATGAAAACAGACAACTTTAAGAATCCAGAGGATTTCTTTTTCCCCTGGCTCATCAGGGACGTATTGAATTTCAAGAACGGATAAAATCAGTCTTGGGAAAGCAAGGAACAAACAATGTGTCAATTCAAATTTTGCCAGACTCAGTCGCTATCTCAATTAGCGAATTTAATTATGTCCCAGAAGAAAACATTACATTTCTGTCATACTTCAGAAGGTATGAGGCCATTTTCAGAGAAAAATGTCAAGGATGGTCGGACGAAAAGAAGGTACATCTTCTGTTATGAAAATTGTACCCAGGCTGAACATGAAAAATATCTAAATTTCATTTTGCCGAATACTCCAGAAAAAGTGTCATTTAACGAAACATTAAGTAACGGTGCGGAAACACGCTCTTGAATAATTACAAAACTTGAGCAGGATTCAAAGTTAACGATATAGACTATTGCGGAAGAGTGTCAAAAATTGTCAGTTTAATGCACGATGCAGGGAAAATAGAGTAAAATGGCACGTCGGAAGTACAAGTAGTTAGGATAGGTACCTCCATGAGATCGCTAAAAAAGAGCATAGCATGATGAAAAAGACGCTAAACTTAACGAAAACAAAATTTTATCGTCTAAATGTTTATGTTATTAAGAGGAAAGATCAAAGTTTATTTTAATTATTTTAAATTTTTTTTCCTTCTTTTTAGAACATTCTGAATTTTGATTTTAAAACCCTTGTTTCTCTTTGTATCACCGGAACTAGTAAAATAACATACACAATTTTTAGCACGTTTTTATTTGTGTCTGACTATTAATACACATAAAGGACTCTACAACTTTTAAAAGATTAACATATGCTGTAAAAGTAGCCTTAGGTATTTTCCAGCAAATAATGGATACGATTTTGGCTGGACTAGACTGTGTTGTCGCTTACATAGATGATATACTTATTAAGAGCTCTATGAAAATACAGCACGTATAACTGACCCAGGAAGTATTTCAAAGACTATATTACGGTTTCAAAATCAGTAGACAGAAATGTCAATTCTTTCTGGACAAAATTAAATATCTAGGTCAAATAATCGACGAAAAAGGAAGAAGACCAGATCCTGCTCGAGCAAGTGCCATTAAAGACATGCCTCCTTCGACAAATTTGGTAACCCTACATTTATTTCATTAGCGAATTATTATAATATTTATGTGATAGATATGTACAAATTGAGAGTACCTCTGAATAAGTTACTTAAGAAGGGTACGAAATGAAATTGATCGGAGTAATGTCAAAAAGCTTTCGAAGGAATTAAAAAATTACTAACTTCAGAGTTATTGCTGACACATTATTACCCTCGCCGACAGATAATAGTAGCGTCGGATGCGAGTGAATACGGCATAGGAGCAGTAATAGGCCATAAATTAGAAGACACTACAGTGAAAGCAATCACTCCCGCTTCGAGGTGGTGTAATGGTTAGCAAGCTTGTCTCGCTAGAACAATTACGACTGAGTAGTGAGTTCGATCCTCACTGGGTGCCCAATACTTTCGTCCTTATGCCACATCTAAGCTACGCTTAGAAAATAGGGCACCTCGGCGTGGTGTAAAGGTTAGCAAGCTTGTCTTGCTATGTCAGTTACTACTGAAAAGTAAGTTCGATCTTCACTGGATGCACCATGCTTTCGGCCTTGTGCTACACACACACACACATATATATATATGTATATAGAGAGAGAGAGAGAAAGAAAAAAAAGAGAGAGAGAAAGATTTTAATAAAGGCGGCAAAAGGAAAAATTCTCTTTGTCTGATGGACTTTATCAAGGCAAATGCAAAGATTTTATTTTGCAATACAGACATTATTTGTACATATGGGGTTAATAAGGATTCTCATTGAGACAATGAGGTATTTTAGTGGATGAAGTAAGAAAGGCAATTATGAATGTGGTGTTTTGGTGGTAGGATTATTGTTTTGTATGTTTTAATCTCTAATATTAATAAAAATGTGAAAAATTTTTCTTGAAGCTTTTATTTTAGTTTTAATTTCAAGCTAATAGATTAAATTTAATTTTGCCAGTAAGCAAAATACTTTGTTGTATTTCATTATTTATCGAAAAATCTTTTTTTTCTTAATTTAATAATATCTTATTCATAAAAACAATCAAAAACTTTTCTAATTAAATAATGTCTTCGTTTTATTGCACTTTCTATTTTACACTTCGGGGCAGATTTTTGGTAACTGGAGATCCTGTTTTACAAAATAAAATTGATAATTAAATTCCCCAAGGAGTTCTAGTTATAACTAATAAAAACATTAACCTTACAAAAATGAATTTCTCGAAATTTCATAAAATTAAATAAGTGTGTGTGCGGGTGTGTGGAGGGGGGTGTCATATGTAAAAAATACTTTTACCAAGATTTTGTAATAACTTTTCTAAAATAATTTCATTGTTTTGTGAATTTGTTCTGAAAGTTTCATTAAAATTCAACAATTATTTGATTTTTGCAAGAATTTCCGAATCAGACGCTAAAGTGTAGACGCTATACTCATTTATGGTCCCCCGCTGACGGAAGAAAAAAATTAATCAAAATTTCGAAGGTTCTAAAAAGGACAAAAAATATAATTTAATAATAAAAAAAATGTCACACCTCTCTTACTTCTCAATACTCTTTGCCTATGTCATAACTATCACTAGTTTTACGAAACTCACCAATTGTCTCTACCCACCTTGATGGTGACTTAAGAAAGCCGAAAGCTTGGACTATATTTCGTGTACTTTTCTTCCGAAATCAGCTTATATATATATATATATATATATATATATATATATAATTGTGTGTGTGTGTGCTAGGTATTAATATTAGAGATTAATATTCGTGAAATCATATAATTTAACGTGTAGCAAATTTAGCAGTTCTGCTGATAAAGTGTTCAGCATTAGACTGGAATTATAATTATTTTTAATTTAGATATAATACTCAATGCTAATCGATGGTTGACTCAATTCTAGTCAAGAGTCCTGATGAGTCATTGAAAAATGATGAAACTGAGTCAGCTTTCGATAAGTATTGAATATTATTATATTTATTATATGTAATTTAAAAATTTATCTATCTATCTATCTATCTATCTATCTATCTATCTATCTATCTATCTATCTGTGTGTGACTGTGAGTGTGTGAGTAATAATTCAGCTTAAAATATTCCGAATGAAAGACTAACGACATTTTTACTTCTGCGTAAATACTTGTTGCAAAATAAAATCTTTGCATTTGCCTTGATAAAGTCCATCAGCCGTACCGACAAAGAGAATTTTTCCTTTTGCCACCTTTATTAAAATCTTTCTTTCTTTCTTTCTTTCTTTCTTTTTCTTTCTTTCTTTCCCTCCTCCCTCCCTCCCTCTCTCTCTCTCTCTCTCTCTCTATATATATATATATATATATATATGTGTGTTTATATATATATGCGCGTGTATATATATATATATATATATATATATATATATATATATATATATATATATATATATATATATATATATATATATATATATATGATGAGCTAATGCTCTGCGATGGAGCGATTCGGGGGAAAGGAAAAGACGTGGCTCTTGCTGCACAATATGTTGGATTATGAATTCTTGTGAGTAGCAGCGCTATATCGAGTCTATTCTGTTTCTTCTTCGTCACTGTTGGTACAGTTGGTATGGCGCTTGCGTTGTATCGAAACGTTTCGGGTTCGAATCTCGGTAGTGGATGCGCACTGTTGATGTCTCCCAAAATAGGACGAAACGGCTGTCCAGGGCATTCTGTTAAGGATTCTTCTAGACTTGATGAATTACTAGAGTGATTTTCATAAATACCCCCAAATTCTATTATATATATAAAGTGTGTGTGTGTGATGCATCAGGCTGTTGAAAACAAGTTATAAAGAAAAACTAATATTCTACAGAAAAACTCTGTATACTTTCAAAAAGTGTTTTTGCACATATTCATCTTACAAGAAAAGAAAAATTTTATTCAATAAACTCGCATACAGCTTTGAAGCTCGCAAGCGACGACACACACGGATTTTGTTCATGTTGATCCTCACGTCTGATAGCCTTCAACGAATCCATTGTTGGATCGTTGGTAGGTCTCCCTCTTAACGACGTCTAGTCTAATGGATTCAGGTTAGGAGAGATTACATATTATTGAGTGTAATGAGTGTCAAAATTCTCGGTTTTCCATTCTTGGGTCAAATGGTCCATGTGTGATGGAGCAGAATCCTGTACGTCTCGCTTGGGGCAACCTCTCATGACCACCACATCTAGGACCTGAATGTAGACTTCTTTTTTTTCTTCTCTAATGTCTCTCTCTCTCTCGTTCTCTCTTTCTCCCTCTCTCTAACTCTCTAGAGCATATCATCTTTATTAACTTTTCTCGAGTGCGCAGGCCAGTAGATACACACTGAGATAATAAAAACAAAATGGTTATCTAACTTTATTCACTAAAAATAACATTTCAACTAATAAATAAAAAGTTCTCATCCTGAAAATTTGAGCAAATGACCTATATGATTTTTTAAAAATCAGTTCATCCCAAGCATATCGATAATGTCACTAATACGGAAAGGGCTACTGTGAGTGAAGGAGAATGATAAAACTTTAGAAGGAACCAGAAAACCAAATCTAAACAGTGAAAAAGAGCAAAAAGACAGAAGACCTGTGAGACAAAAGGCCAAGGAGGAGTGTGTTCAAAAGACCGGAGAGGAGTGTCAACTGGACGTTAGGCGAACCTATCTATTATTGAGGAGAAAAAATAAATAAATAGAATAATTAGTGAATAAAATTTCAGAGTTTAGACGGAGACGTTAGAAGTATAGAGTTGAAGTAGACTCTAGAAGGAACCGGAAACCCTATCCTAAAGATGAAACAATGGATAAATCTCTACTCCTGTTCAAAAGACCAGCAAGGAGTGTGAACCGAACATTCACATATTATCCGACACACGTTGATTACGCTGATTAAGAAAATCTATGAACGTTTAATCAAAATAATAAAGATACAGATATTCAAATATTTTTTTTTATTTTTTTCAATTTCTGTTTCATTTATAACCGATTTTTTCTCTCCCTCCATTTTTCTTTCTTCCTTTCTTTTTATCGTCTGCTTTTTATACCTATTTTTCTGTTTTATACTTTCGTCATTCTTTCTTTCTGGAAATTTTAATTATCAACTTTCGTTGTTATCATCATTCTTTCTTTTCATATTCTATTACTTTGTATATATTTTTTCTTTCGTCTAACTCCAAATTTCATTCAAGATTATTTTTCTCTTTTTATTTGTTTGTTTGCTTCTCTGTTTTCATATTCTGTTTCTTTTATATCTATTTTCTTTTTTTTTATCCTCTCTGTTTCTTTCTTTCTTTCTTTCTTTCTTTCTTTCTTTCTTTCTTTCTTTCTTTCTTTCTTTTCTTACTCCTCCCAATTCATTTAATTTCTTTCTTTCTTGCTCTCACTTATATTACAGTCTTGATTTCCTCTCTTCATTGTTATTCGTTTGCTTCTTTCTTTTTTCTTTCTTTCTTTCTTTCTTTCTTACTTTCTTTCTTTCTTTCTTGCTTGCTTTCTTTTTAGCTTTTTTCTTTTCTTACTCCTCCCAATTCATTTAGTTTCTTTCTTTCTTGCTCTCACTTATATTACAGCCTTGATTTCCTCTCTTCATTGTTATTCGTTTGCTTCTTTCTTTCTTTCTTTCTTTCTTTCTTTCTTTCTTTCTTTCTTTCTTTCTTTCTTTCTTTCTAAGGAGGGCTTTTGGTCCTTCAGCCTTTTATCTTCACTGTCATATGCACGCAAGTTATAAGAATTTAGAAATTATAAGATTATTTTATTTTTATTCAATACCTTAATTCGGCATAATCTTTCTTCGTATACGCAACCGATCTAAGTAGTTTGTTTACATTTATTTTTCGCGCAAATTTTAATTTCTTTTAAAGTCACCATAAAGTCACATAAAGTCACCCTTAAAAACACTAGGCAACTCAAACTATTTAATAGTTTGAATATGTTACAGTGTGCGTGCTAGAAAAAGAAATATGGGCAAAAAACAAAACAAAACAAAAAAAACAAAAAACAAAACAAAACAAAAAAAAACAAAAAACGGACGGTCGGACATACGTACACTGTACTTTATTTATATAGAAATTTGATTCTTTCCTTTCATATTCTGTTCCTTCTATGTCTATATTTTATCCCACTCGTTTTTTCTTTTTTATTTTTTCTTTCATTTTATTTTTCTTTCTTTCCTTTTATCTCCAGGTATCTCTTTATCTGCCAACTCGTTTCCTTAATCGCTTAATATATATATATATATATATATATATATATATATATATATATATATATATATATATATACATGAATATGCATAATTAAAGATATATATTACATTTTTCAAAAGCGACATTACAACCGATCTTTTATGAAGTCATAAAAGACAAATAATGCGTTGTGAACGGTCGTAATGTTGAAAGCAACGATTCGTTGCTTCCTTTAATTTCTTAACCACTTCCGATACAAACGATAAGATTTTCTATATTTCTTTCATTTCCAGTCATCCATATTTTATTTTTCTTCTTCATAATCTTTATTCCCACCTGGATAAAAGAAAGTTAATCTAAATGATCTTGTAATCTACAAAATCTTATAAAGTCATTTGCTGTTTTACGTCGATTACATCTGGGACTTCTTTTTGTCAATATTTCAATTCATTCTTATTCAATGATTTCCTCATAATTGTAATTTAGCTTAAAGCGATTCCAGTTCCCAGTGACTAAGACCAGAAATAAATAATTCATAATTTTTACTTATTAAGTTTTATCAAATGAAATTTCCGTTTGGTGGGAACCAATTGTAATAACGATTCTATCTAGTGTTTTCAGTACAACAACACAACTTAGTTTTTGTTTGGCAGTGACTGCATACACAGTTCATTAAAGAATAAATTTATTAACTCTACTAATAGACGTAATGAAAGTGCATTTACATTACATAATCTTATGTCAGTTCAAGCAAAGGAATAATTCTATGGAAACGTCTAGAAAAATATAAAGTTTTTATGGTCAAGGAGTCATAACTGACCGACAAGTAGGAAATTGGGGCAAAATTGGACCTTCGTGCTCGCAAAAAAAAAAAAAAAAACGTCAAAAAATGCGCCCAAAGGTTGGTTTTTCCAATGAAACCGCTGTTATTTTAACTACTTTCGATCCATGGCTTTGGTTGTTGTTTTAAAAAGCGATGATTAGAATTCTAATAAAACCTAAATATATAATGAAAGTAAATTTATGCCCTTTTTTCGTTCTTGAGAATTGACAACAAAAATATTAAACAAGAATAATTGTATATTTACAACATTCTAAAAACTCACACAATTAAAACTGATGCAATGCAATATTCATTATTTACCGATTTATAAAGAAATAAATATGAAAACTTTTATTCATAAATTTATAAACATTCACTGAATTATTAAAATATGTAAACCAACTATAAGGGAATCCCTATCATTTAGTATTTTATAAAGTTCGAGTCAACTGGCAATTAGTTTTGTCAACCATTCTAATGAATAATATAATAAATGAATAGTGTTTATTATTTTGTTGCCAATTCTCATAACAAGGAAAATGTATAAATTCAATTTCATATCTTTAGGTCTTATTAGAATTCTAATAATCGCCTTTTAAAAAAAATAAACATTGCTGAGGGGGTGAAGGTACTTAAAATAATAGCGATGTCAATGAAAAAACCGTACTTTTGACACTCATTTTTTTTCGGGTTCGAAGTTCCAAGTTTGCGGAAATAGGTTTGAAAATTTTCGTTCTGGAGATGAACCCAGACCGGGGAGTTTATCGGACTTTGATGATGAAGATCTAAAGTCATTAACACAAAACGATCCAAGGCAAAATACGCGGGAATTAGCAATGATGTGAAACATATCACAATCTATCATATTCTGACACTTAGAAAAGATAGGGAAAGTCAGAAAGAAAGGTGCTTGGATTCCAGCAAAAAGAGCAAAGCAAATCGTTGATAAACAAAATTATTTATGATTGAGCCTAATAATAATAATAATAATGGTCATAAAGTGTATGACTAGGGATGCTGGTAAATTCATACAAAGCCAAAAGAAGCCGGCAAGGGCTTCCCTTAAATATAAAGTTTAAAGACTTAAGGAAAGAAAAAAAATCGTAGGCTGAGGTTGTTAAGATCTACGATAAAATGAATAAATTTATTTAGTTATTATTAGGAGGCATGCTGAAATATTCTCAGTCTGACCAAAAAGTTCTTAAAAATTCTGGTTTTTAGTCCGATTTAGAGAAGTGGGTCGTATAAAGAAATTTTCAGCACCCTTTATTTTATTATAAGTTTTAATCTCTTTTATTTAATTTAAAAACTGAAACTTATCATGTTGATTTTCTGAGCGTAGCTTAGATGTGGCACAAGGTGAAGTACCTGGTGAGAATCGAACACAATATTCAGCCGTAACTGATCTACCGAGACAAGCTTGCCAACTATTACATCACGTTGAAATGTCCCATCAGAGGTATGTATGTGTAGCAACAAAAACATATATAGAGTCTGGTACGATACACGCTTTCAGGTATCCGCTGGGGTCTCAGAAAAAAAAAAAAAAACACCGCGGATAAGTGAAGAAATAATGTACTCCTATATTTCATTGCAAAATCGTTTTTTTTTTGTTTACAAAAGAAATCGAAATATAGCCTTCTCTAAATAATTATATTTTTTCATAATTAATTTAGTGTTTACTTCAGATTGGAATGTTTGAAACTTTAAAATTATTTCATATATTGATATTTACTAAAATTTGCTTTGTATGCTACCAGGCCAAAGAGTAAAGGCACTTAGTGAAAATCAAACTCACGACTGTAATAGTATTTGGCATTTACAAAGCTTAGTTTACGACAGAATACCACAGATGGAAAGCGTTCAAGCGAGGATCAAATATCCCATAACATTAACTAGCGGGGATACTTGGCGTTGCTCGGAAGATCTTTGAATAATAGTTTATTATTGACAATTTATTGATATTTTTCAGCCATCTTGGGGGAAATAATTTTTTCTTCATTCTTTAAAAAATAAACTTCATTATTTTTTTGGTTTGTTACAAAATAATTAAATTTAGGAAAATACCGCACTACCAATAATACCACGTTCGGAGGTGAGGTTGGTTTTATAGGGCTGACTATCCACATATTTTTATTCAAAAAGGCACTTTATTTTTCGAATTAAATACCAACTTAAATAATCTGTTAATATTGTTTTCAAACAAATCAAATCGATTTTTCTAATTTCATTAACCTTTTTAGTAAATAAACTTAAATTAAGATATATTTAAACATATTTAATTAATCATTTTTTTCAAACAAAAACTACAGCGAGCCTCACTTCTTTGAAAAATAATTATTTACTATTTAAAACATTACATTAGTGATTATTTTCTTTTTTTAAAGAAAGAAAGTGAAAGCAGCAAACATTTCTCCGTAAATGAATTTAATTACTATTTTGAAAGAAAGTAGAAGTAAGATATATTGAGAAATTAGCCTTGAAAATCCATCATGTTTAAATTTCAAGTTATATTTGTATTTGAAACCCCCCAAAAAAAACCCCAAAAACTTTAGTTAAATAAAAATTAGTGGAGACAGAAATGAGTTACGGTTAACATTAGTTGTGTTGAATATTTTTTTACGAATTTAACTACATTTCATTTAAATTTATTTTCGAAAAATAAGGCTCGCTATAATTTTTTGCTTTAATAAAATTTAATTTGAAATTATTTACTTTTTATGTTAGTTACGAACCAAAAATCAATGATGTTTATTTTTTAAAGACAGAACAAAAAATATTTTCCATAAAATTCAAGCGCCCTACAAGGGGCTGGCATCCCGCTCTCACCCTTTCACCGTCGAAACTATTAAATGTAGCCGTCACTTCTACTCCAATAGCTTCATCTCTCGCACCTCTCGCCTGTGGAACTCCCTTCCCTATTCCAGTTTCCCTGAGGGCTATAATCTCCAACTATTCAAATGTAATGTCAATTGACATCTCCAGTTGCCTTGATCTATCCACTACCCTTCTCCTCATCCTTTCCTCTATCACTCCTATCCGATCTTGCTCCAAATTTTCTGTAACCCCTTGCGTCCTAGTGGCTTCCCGCCTTGCTTGGAGTGAAAACCTTAAAGAAAAAAGAAAAAAAAAGATGGCCGAAAAATATTGTCTCACACACAGACACACACACACATGCACACACTGGGATATTATTATCTATCTATACATATATAAATGTATAGATAGATAATAATATCCCTACAATATAAACATAAAAAAAAATGCGTGTATTTAAAGTAAACTTGTTATTAAAAATAGGTAATTAAAAATTTCCGAATTAAAAATATTGACATATTTTCGTAAAATATCTGATTTAAGCTACTAAAATTTTCCCCCCAAATATCTACGGAAATTTATTCTTTTGTGTTTGTACAATTTTTGTTTTGAATATTTAATATTCTTCTTTTAAAGTTACTTTGTTGGTTTAATATTCATTTTTTTTAAAAATTACGCTTTTATTTACTATAGATATGGAAATAAATTCAAGAGAATAAAAATTTTAAAAATATATATAGAGTTTCGAAATTATCAGTAGAATGAAAAAGTAAAAACGAACGGAATAAGAATTATTCCTATTCATTTTTACTTTTTAATTCTGAGAAATTCGAATGCATTCTAAT